TGATAAGGTCAGGGCTTTTTTCGGGCTTTATTAGTTTGCTGATACACGCCTAGCCACCCAAATAGCAATATACACTAGGGCCAGTTCCGGTTGGATTCTCGCCTGCCAGAGACTTACCTCTTGGCCCGGCTTCGTCTGCTAGACCTACTCGGGCCGGATTGCTATGGACACACTGCCCGATTCCGCCCCAAACAAACGGGCCAAATGCGGCGGCCGATAACCGAAACAGCCGCAGCATCTGAGCCGCAGTCGGCCCGCGAGTATATGCGCTGCGGCCGGGGAGCTGGCGCGATTGAATCTTCATTATGTAAAACCTCACCTTTGTTTACGGTATTACAACCATTTGTGTTGATATAACAGCAAACGCAGGCTACTATGCAAACGCAAAGTGTAAGCACTAAGTTTACCCTTTAAATAAAACGCAAACATAACCAAAAAATTATAAACAATACAAGCGATGTTGCAGCAGCTGACATCAGTTATGCATTAATACTGCCAAGGTTTTTTTTGTACAAATTGATGAATTGGAGGGTTGTGATGTGTAAATATCCTGTTGATATTTAGAAATCTTGCTGTATTTATCTTAAGAGCTAGCCGGCAGCTATCTCTCTGCAACTCTCACATGGTCGCCCACTGAAGCTAAGCAGGGCTGTGCCCGGTCAGTACCTGGATGGGAGACCACATGGGAAAGCTAGGTTGCTGCCGGAAGAGGTGTTAGTGAGGCCAGCAGGGGGCGCCCAACCTGCGGTCTGTGTGGGTCCTAATGCCCCAGTATAGTAACGGGGACGCTACACTGCTCAGTGAGCGCCGTCTTTCGGATGCGACATTAAACTGTGGTCTTTAAAAATCCCAGGATGTCCTTCGAAAAGAGTAGGGGTTTAACCCAGGCATCCTGGCCAAATCTTCCCACTGGCCTCTGTCCATCATGGCCTCCTAACCATCCCCATATTCAATTGGCTTCATCACTGTCTCCTCTCCACCAAGTCAAGTGCTTATTACATCTTTTGCTTATGTGTCCAAAAGAAAGACGGCCAAAACAAACACCTTTTTCCTTTAGAAAGTTCAATTTGTCTTTATGCAGCTTGTTTTGCATTTGTGTACACTGCTCCTATAAGTGATCACGTTTGCAGCACAAACATACAACTTGAGCCTTTGATCTTAATTCAGTCTCACAGCATTGAATTGATTTATTGTTGGTGACAACCGTTGTTGCAAAACTGTTTCTAATTTTAGTCTTAGGTTGGGATTTCTGTTGCACAGGCTGGGTACTCTGGATATCACCAAACAAGGGATCGGATGACATTTTGACTTGACGTTCAACAAATATCACAATATCTTTAAACCGTGCTCTCTGCTTGCGTCTTTCCATTAACTCACATGCAACAGTTCTCCAATTTTCCCTTAATTTGTAAGGCAACTTCATGATGATGGTTTTCAAATTGCTTGGCATCTCTAGCTGCTCCCTATAGTCAATTTCTTCCATTACATTACAGCATCCACGCAAAAAAAGAGCATAACTCTGCAATGAATTTACATCCTCAGATTTTATTGAAGGCCATGCCAAAACCTTTTCTACATATGCAGAAGCTATTTTGAATTCATTGCCGTAATGTTCCTTTAACAATGCTTTAGCTTTCACATACCCTCTTTGTGCATCCATATGCTGACAACTTCACACAATCTCCCTTGGCTGACCTTGTGTATATTGTTCCAGAAAGTATAAACAATCTCTAAAATTTTTGGTTTTGTCTTCTATTCCATGCTCAAATGCTCTCATAAAAGTTTTATATTGCAGAGGATTGCCATCAAACACAGGTATAATATCTCTTTGAGGCAGTGTATTGGATTGTTGTTGTTGTACAAGCAGAGTGGTAATCTCATTTTGTTTTTGCAAGATACTACAAAGGTTCGAAGTTATTATTCCATCACTGTTCTGCATTACACTTGAGGATTGCATTTGTGACGTGAAATGAGGATCAATTTGTGGCACACTGTGAATTTGCTGAATCACGTTCCTTGAGCTTTCTTGCAGGGAGACTTCTATTGGCACATATGCCTCTGCATGAGGGTTGAGAGTAACAGTTCCTTTATCACAATATGCATTCATATCATCAGTGCAGGTTTTGGGAGACTGATTATTTAAAACAGCAATTTTTGCAGTAGCGGCTGCAATCTCTGCATCAATATCCAGCTGTTCTTGTCTATGTCCTAGCTTTTCTTGTTGTACCTCCAAAGCATGCTTTTCCTTTAAAGCAGCTGCACGAGCCATTAATGCAGCTTTCTCTGCCTCTGCCATGATTCATGCTGAAGCAGCAGCAGATCTCCCACTACGTACACTGCTTGAACTTTTCTTGCTGAACGATTTACTGGATTTACATGAGAAGATGTTGGAAATGCTATCATCTGGATTAACATCCTCTTGACATACCCTTTCATCAACACCAGAACATGAAACTTGACTTTCAGTGCTCAACCATTTCTCAACATCATCTACAAACTCACCGCAAATCAACATCTTTCCGTTGAACCATGTTTGTTGTTTTTCCTTTTCTTCACTGGGCAAAAGAACCATCACGGAATTGTGCATTTCCTTTGTTTCGTCTCTCAATTTGATGAATTTCTCAAAGGAACACTGCACCTCCTTTTCATATTCTCGGTTGGACATAAAATCCTTAATAATAGCCATTAAGTTCTTTGCCTTGCTTAGTTTACACTTTCTTGTCTTTTGCAGAGTTTCCAATTTTTCCAATAAAACCTTAGGAGTAAGCTTAATGAGCCGCTTTTCCCTCAAATGCTCTGTTTCAACCTTCTCAAATGGCACAATAGTCTCTGTCTGTTCACAGGTAGCCGCACCATCATCATCACAATTCATTAAACTCATATTCACAGTTGAAATCGTTTGCCTCCTTAGCAACTTTAAAACTTAAGCAACCAATGCATTGGATTTACGCTATTGTGTGCACACAAAGTCATTCATTAAGTAGCGCTACACATACTGTACCTTTGTTTCATTCATTCAGTTCATCACGGCTGCTCCTCAAGAAAGTCCAAAAATGATGCATGATGATCCACCCAGTGGTCAAAAACAGCATTATAACAAATATAATGGCTCTTACAATAGTATTATTAAACTAAAATACAATAGTAATTTTTAGTAAAAAGGTTTTGAACCATACTAAAGTGTAATAGCGTATTTTTTTACAACTATCTTTAAAGAAAACAACTGCATATCGTAGTATTGTGTTTAACATAGATGATCTGGGGCCTCATGTATCAACGCTGCGTACTCACAAAAACTTTGCGTACGCCAGGTTTCACGCTCAGAATCGCTCACGTTTGGATTTACTAACAATGAACTGAACGTGGGAATGTGCGCAGCTTCACGGCAGCTTTCTGGCAGGCGTACGCACATTTTTTGTGCGTGTCTGTTTTATTTCCATTGGCGACTCCTAGATGCAGTTGTGTTAAATTCCTCTCTACAAAGTGTCTGAGCTTTGCAATGGCAGCTGTATGAGACGGGTTCATCTAGTAGGTATGTAAAGTTTCCATACCATACAGTTGACCAGCTAAACATTAAAGCACAATTTGCAGCAGTCGCCTGTTTTCCCAATGTAATCTGAGCTATCTACTGCACACACATTGCTATAAAGACACTATCTGAAGATGAATTTGCATACGTGAATCAGAAACATTTCCATTCAATAAATGTGCAAATAAAATATGATGCACAAACTTATTGATGATTCCTACTTGTCTTTCTCGTGATAAATAGTGGGCAAAATCTGATATGTAGCGGGGAAAAAAAAGAAGAAAGAGTTCATCAGATGCTGGATTCAAGCCGAGTTTATGCTCGAACGTGTCAATCATGATCACATGCGTCTTACGAGGTGCGCCACAGAGACTGTTAAGGATACTGCAACATTTTACAGATATAAACCACATTATTTATTTTTTTAATGCACTCAGTGCGATGTTCAGACCCAACTGTGTTAACCGCATCAGCTAAACTCTCCCACTCTATTTTTTTCTTTTGTTGTTAATTCCGGAGAACAAACAAGCAAATAACACCGCTTTTCTCCGGTCTACCTCCGAAAGCAGCACCTCCAATTCACATTCTGTTCAAAGTTTCTCTTTTTGCTTGCTTTTGCCATTGCTTTTTCGTTGGGTTTTGCCATTAGCATAGTCATTAGCATATTCATACGGGGGAGGAGGCAGGGAGGGGTTTTGTGCTCGTGCATGTTGCGCTCAGTTTCACGTTCATTCGGATGTACAAAAGAATATGCGTGAGATTCGGCGTACGCAGTGTTTCATACATCTGAATTTTTTTCTGCGTACGCACATTTACAGCTTTGTGCGTACGCAATGTTTTAGTAAGATTTTCACGCAAGTCTTCATACATGAGGCCCCTGGTGAGTACATCTCTGGAGCATCATTCACATAGCCTCCTCCTAGAGCACTCGCTTCCAATGCAGGAATCGCTGGTTTGATCCCTGCTTGTAGCTGGACAAATTGTATTATGATAAACTTTTGAATACCTTGGATTTTACCACAGTCATCAGTTGTGTAATGTAATATCTTGTGTAAAAACTACAGTAATTGAGTAATTTGTTTATATTGCTGTTGTTGTATTACTACATGAATGAGTTGGTCAGTTGTGAACATTTGACATTATGGCAACACAGTGCTTTACCACACTTTAACCAGAAGAGGTCCTCATCGAGCTCTGATTTAGAAAGCTTCGAGTAACGAACCTTTTTCTGATACAATTGAGTCGAGCGCTTCACTGGTTCAGAAAGCTTCATTTCAGTGTTTCACGAAGACTTTTGCCCACCACTACAGAATTTCACACGCACAAACGCTATTGTGACCGTAGCTTTAAACTGTTTAAAAACCTGTATCCGCTGGTCACTCCTCCTCCTGTTGTCCTCTGTGGGACTGCAGACCGGTGTGGCGCACAGGTGTCGCTCATTACCATTCACACCAGTGGCCTATAAGTATGCATCAGTAAAATCTGCATGCATAGTGGAAGACAACAGCAGAACCATGGGCTTTCTCAGTTTTTGTCTTACCAGTGAGTTTCTTGTTGGGTTTAACAAGCAGTTTGCTTAGTATAACTTTTGTGCTGCTAATAATGCGATTAGCAGTGCTGGGTGTCTTGATCAGTTCTTCTTTGTTTGTTTTTCAGTGATTCTTCTGAACTCCAGCCTGCTGATCTCAGCAAATGGTGGTCACGGTCATGATCACGATGATTATGAGCACTGCCGGAGGTCTACTAGTAAGTGTTTCAGTATTTGTTTATCACTTTTTTTTTTTTTTTTTTTTTTCATTGAAAAATGTTTAAATCTTTGTTTATTTTGCTCCAGTTATAAGCCAGTATAATCTACCAGTTTAAGTGACTATTTATTTCTCAGACTCTGTAACTGCATGTGAGGGCTCTGTTCTGCGTCTGTCCTGTCCTGGTAAGATGAAGTGTCAACATCCATGAAATCAGTGTCTGTAAAATATGGATTTTAAGGTTTGTGGGTGGGTTTATTTTTTTTTTTTTTTAATTTTTCTCCCTCTGTCACCTCCGTGTAGGACATACTAAGATCAAGATCCTTGCTGCAAACTATGGACGTACAGATAAAAAAACCTGCAATATAAATCTTTCACCTCGTCAAGTCCGAAACACCAACTGCCGTTCATCAAACTCTCTGCCCCGTGTGTCAGCAAGGTATAGATTTAACAGTTATTTGTGATGTGCATTAACTAAGATCTGGTTGTCAAGGAGTCATTTTGAGCATGATTTGGCCACAGCTAGAATGAACCAACTTTATTCAAATCGGTGTCATGAATGAACTCTTGTGTAGGTGTGATGGATGTGAGAGCTGCTATGTACCAGCCACCAATGGTGTATTCTCTGATCCGTGTCCTCGCACATACAAGTACTTGACAGTCAAATACTGCTGCAGGCGTAAGTTGTTAAACTGGGCAAAAATGCATAACTGGTGTTTTGCTTGACCTCATTTAAGCTTTGGTCTAATTTCTCTTGCAGGTCGATGGAGCTGATCTTGTGGATTTGGGCTGATTTCTCTGCCAGTGTCTCCTCAGCATTTACTTTTAATAAATGCCTAAATGGAAATTGTGTGTGGGTTTTTTATTTATTTTTTTTAAATTTATATAAATAAACCAAAGATCCGTTTCAATAAGCCAAATGTTTGTGGTGAAATTTCACCAGACTGGTTTGAGCTGACAAAGGCAACAGTATCTTAGTTCAAAATTTGAACCCCTTGTCAAGCATTGATAGATGAGTTGCTGCAAGTGAGTCTGTTCTGTCTGCTAAGGTTTACATGTTAAGCTCCAAATTAGGACAATAGAATATTGGTCTGAATAATGATTAAAGTTCTCAAACAAAAATAGCTTATTTTATTTTTTTTTTTTCAAAAATCCAGACTAAGCTCCATACGGTTTGTGGAAACTGCTCTGTGATATACCTATTGTACTGTTATTCTCTGAAAGTAAGCACCTTTTCTTTAAAGCTACTGTAAATGAAAAACTTTTTCCTGATTTATGTATGCTGAGCTCTCTGAGCCTCGCTTACATGAGCTGAAAATATTTTTGCTGGTACAAGATCATTTAATCTTAATAACTGGTCTCTGGCTAATTTAATCCAAGTTAATAAATTAAAATGTCTGGATGAATGAATTGATTGCTGTCTGTGTTGTGCAGGACTCTTCTTTGGCTCTTGGCGAAGGCGGTCGCTCTTCTTCCCGCTCCGTCCCATATCTCTCCTTGCTAGCACCTCTTGTCTCGTCTTATTCTATCTCTGAGGCTCTCCTTGTCCTGCTTTCCAAACGAAAAAGGAATTATGGATTTGATCAACTGGTCTCTGAATGCAATTTACACCATCTTCTCAACTAGATCGCTGGGCTCCGGGGAACCTAGCTGTCCTGCGGGGATGCTCGCAGCTGGATATGTGATGGACGGGTGGGAGAAGTGGAGAGTCCTCTGTCTAGCTGCTCTGTCTCTGGAGGATATTGAAGATATCTACCTATTCGGAACTTTGATAACAGGGTTTCTGCTGATGGGCTTATGCGGGGCCCTGGGATATCGGAAACTGATAAAAGCGGTCAGCGCAGCTCAAAACCCCACTAGGCTGGCCGGCTTGATTGAAACACTGATGGGTAGGGTCGCGAATCAGACTATGGTCCTTGACCGCAAACTGGAAACCATCGAGGTGAAGCTAGCGGCTCTGCAACAAATTTTGGCCAGATCGGGAGATGAGTGATGGACAATAAATATCTGTGAAATTGGCAGATATTGACCTAAAGTTGAAGTATCTTACTGTCTTTTTTTCGGCTCTCCTCTTACTCCTGCCAGACGGCCTCGGCTGGAAGTAAACAACTCCCTGGGATAAGCAAGATAAGCGGACGCTCTGAATTCCTGCCACTGTCAAGGACACCTGCGGGACTCTGGACTATGCAGGCTCACACACACACACACAAACATATCTACAGATAAGCATTCACCACCGATCCCCATCCAAACGCCTTCTATGCTTTTACCCACGTGGGGCGTGGGCGGGGCTGTGACTTGCGCCGGAAATGGCTGCTGGGCCAGTTGGCTGCCCGCACTCAACGGATTGTTTTCCATTACCCCTGTTCCCATCCCTTCTGTCTATGTTGTGTCTTGCCGGTGTGCTTATGCTAAGATAGGGCTGTTTTTCTCCCTTTTCTCACTTTGTCCTAATCAAGGGCAAGCTGAGGGGGTGTTTTTTAGCCTAACTGTCCAAATGTATCTTTCTTCGTTTGTAAATGCTACCTCCTAAGATCTGTCTCCCCTGAAAAGTTGTTTGTGATGTTTTGTCTATGGTCTGGGGGGTCCAATTTCGCTATACGAAAGTGTAGTGACAAATAAAGGCTTGATTGATTGATTGAATGATTGATTGACGGAACTGATTTTACGAATGGTGTGAAAAAATTTTCAATATTGAATAATTTACAGTCTGTACAAGAGAAAGCAGCGCAATCGAAAAAGAGTTTGATATAACATTCTGCTGATAACATATTCTCTGTATTTTAATATCTGTTCTCTGTCACACAAAGTCACAGGTGTTATAAAGCTGGGTGGTCTGGTTAAGCAGACTAACATGAGTTTATATTTTTGATCAAAAAATGATTAAATTGATGCATGAAACCAAGTTACAAAACATATATATATATACGTGTGTGTGTGTGTGTGTGATTGGGAGAGGGGTTGTGTTGCTTGTGTTTGGAGCATTGTTATGTGGATTTGTTATTTACATTTTTATAAATAAACCTACATTCCCGTTTGTTTCTGTCTCTTTATTTACAAAAGGTAAACATTATTTTCCAACAAAATCTTCTCTAATCTTCTTATATCTAGGTTTATCTAGTTCCTTAAGCATCCACTTCTAACTTTAGCCTGCCAACATCACTATCCTCCAAGGTTATTGACTTCTTTTACCTATCACTGCTTTGCGCTCTGCAACAGTTATTGTTTCGCTCGTTATAATGTTGGTTGTGGGTCTACTTTTGTGTGCAGAAGGTTCTGGAGGAAGTGGAAGCAGAGCTCCGAGACCTCCAGATGAAACGCAAACAGCTGTAGGCAAAAGTATTTAGATGCAGCTTTGATAATGTAAGCTGAGACTGCATATCTCAGTGATGCAATGTCAGACCCAATGCACTCAATTGAGCTAGTGATGTCACTGAGGGTTAATGGTGGGCTTAGTTGTGCATATTAAAAAGCATTAGATGCAGCTTAGATTTCACTGCACCAGGTCTGCATTCAGATCCCTCTCGCTGCAGGAGCAGAAAGCTAAAGTAGTTCATGTTTTTATGACCTCTAGACTGGATGTAAAGCATCTGCTATTAATAAGCTTCAATTAGTGCAAAATGCAGCTGCCAGAGTTCTTTCTAGGTCTTGAAAATATGATCCTATCACCCAAATTTTAACTTCAATACTCTGTTAATTTTTGTATTGAATATAAAACAGCAACGTGGTGGCACAGTAGGTAGTCCTGTCACTTCACAGCAAGAAAGTCGCTGGTTTAAGTCTCATCTTTGTCAGTTGGTGTTTCTGTGTGGAGTTTGCATGTTCTCCCCGCATTTGTGTGGGTTTCCTCTGGGTACTCCAGTTTCTCTCGCACAGGGGTGCTGCAAGCAATTTTGGGCGCCATGAAAAAAATAGGGGGATGGGCCCTCTACTACCAAGCTAACTATCCAAACTCTTTTTCTGCAATGTAGTTATAGTACTGACCTACACTATGCATTTTATTATTGATTTTGTCCACTACAGTATTTAGTAAGAGAACGACCATGGCTGTAGTTAGCAGATGATTTATAGTTCAAATGTAAATGTTGTACAAAAAAAGGAACAGTAATCAAATATTCACTGAAAATTGTACATTTATTAAACACACAAAGTGTAACTATTTAAATGACTGTACTGCAATGGTGTCTCATACAATGTGCAATACACTAGAACATGAAAAAAATCTATAAGACACATGTAGGGTCCAGCCAGTTGGTCCAATGACGGTATCCAATGGTGGATGAAGGTTCACTGCATGTTCGGTCTTTCCAGTGCACAATGTTGATTTATATTAAACTTAACTCATATCTGACTCCAATTTTAGTATGAGATGGTTTAGAATATTAATATATTTATCCTCGTTTTATCTGACTCCAATTATAAAACATTGATAAGATTATTTTGTTTTCTTTCACATTATTTTAGATTATGATTGAATATTCTTTTATTTTGTTATTATACCTTATTCTCATTTACTCAGATTCCGATAGCATCTCGAGTCTTGCACCGGCCGGGTATACAATCTCTTAATACAAGCTTGTCAGTCTTGGTCATTAAACAGAGGCGATTAACCACTCTCCTAAAAAGGCAGAACCCTACTTACTCAATTTAGGAGATTTTTATGTGGTCCCCATAGATCTGTTATCTACTTAATCAAGACAAAGTATTTTAATAATAATCGCGCAGGATTATACTATTGTAGATGAAGGCCTAAATATCCACATTTAAAGTAGTTTCAACAATATTTTGTTGTTCTAAATAGTTGGCCTTTTACAGTCCAAGTATACATGAATAAATGCCAATTTGTTAGTCGGATCTCTAACAACATTGAATAGCGTGTAAAACATGTTTTAGTCCATTACTAACCTGTACAGTGGCTTGTAGTGCTATGGACAACAACATTTATCAGTGATAATAACACGAACTCTGTTTGAATCATTCAAAACATAACAATTTATTAGTCAGGTAAATGTATTATGCCAATTCAATCAGTCAATTCATAAACGATCAATACAAAACATCAAATTATCAAAGATAACTCCAAGATGAAAAAGATGCATTCCTGACTTTGAAATATACATAACATGGAGCTAGCCATGTTATGGGCTGATCTGGTTAGGCAGAATCGCCCTGAGTTTTTCTCAAACCTTGCCTTAAATAATCCAAGAATTCCCTCAAGGAAGGGGGTGTGTGTAAAAAGTCACACCCTTCAAGGTGGTTCAAAAGATGCCTGAAGTTATATATTTATTGTGTTGATTATATCTATTTCTGAGAGAATGAGACCATTGTACCAATCGCACTGAGACATTTCAGATGATATCAAACATGATAATTAAAGTCAGTTTGGTTAATCTAAAACATTCAAACATTGAAATGACCATATGTGTGAGTTGGGGGGATGAAGCTGAGTCTCAGCATAGTCAGATGCAAATGCAGCAGGAACTGGTTTTTTACGCATTCCCCCCTGGTGGGTTGTCGAGTCCATTGGCCCTGTCTTCAGCTCATGTTTTGAATTGTCAAAGATATCAGAATATTTGTAATATTTCAATTCTTACAACACAAAATTATATTACAATGAGACCCATAAATAAGTGTTCTTTTGTTTAAACTGACCGTTACTTAAATGGCAAAACCCTGACCTTCTTGCTGGCAAAATCTTCAATCAAATAAAAGAAAATAACAAACAAATTAATATTAAAAGAGTGCAAAATCCAGCACACTGCAAACCAAATAAACACAACATCAAGAAATTTGAAACAGTCTGTTGATTAACCTGACAGTGACTTAAATTCCAAGTGCCAAATGCCT